TCTTCTGCTGCTGCATCTTTGTCAGCACCAGCATCAAGAAACAACCCAACAACTTCCAAGTGGCCTTCCTGAGCTGCAACATACAAAACCTTTGACCCAAGTTCGGTTGTGGCATCCTTGTCAGCTCCTGCATCGAGCAGCAACCTCACAACTTCCAAGTGGCCTTCCCGTGCTGCAAAATGTAAAGCCGTTGACCCCAAATCGGTTCTGGCATCTTTGCCAGCTCTAGCATTAAGCAACAACCGCACGACCTGCAGGTGACCATTCCCAGCTGCAACAAACAAAGCTGTTGACATATTTGCTAGTGATGCATCTTTCTCAGCTCCAGCATCGAGCAACAACTGCACAATTTCCAAGTGACCTTCCTTAGATGCACTAAACACCGCCCATGCCACATCTTCAGTAGTTGCACCCTTGTCACCTCCAGATTCAAGCAGCAAGCGCACAACTTCCAAGTGTCCGTTCTGGGCTGCCAAAATCAGAGCCGATGCTCCATCTAAGCGCGCTGCATCTTGCTTAGCTCTGGCCTTAAGCAACAGACGCACAATCTCTAAGTGACCATTTTGAGCTGCGTTATGCAAAGCCCATGCCCCATCTTCAGTTGCTGCACCCTTGCAAGTTCCAGCTTCGAGCAAGAACTGCACTACTTCCAAGTGGCCATTCCAAGCAGCAAGAGACATAGGTGTTGCCTCATCTCGAGTTGCAGCATCTTTGTTGGCTCCAGCTTCCAGCAACAACTGCACCACTTCCAAGTGACCTCCAAGAGCGGCGACGTGAATTGGTGCGTAGTTTGCATTTGCATCTTTGCCACCGAGATTTGGATCTTGTGGTCTTCTAAGTAGCTTCTCAACTTCGCATATGTGATTCTGTCTACAGTTCTGAAGTAGTTCCTCCTCCATCGTCACATCAGAAACACCAAAGTCCAGGATCAGCAACTGCACACTTGGCAGGGGCATTAAAGACATGTCATCGGTCAGCTCGCCAAGTTCCTGGCTGAAGAGTCTTTGCCGAAACCTTGAAAATCCAACCCGATCTGCAAGGGCACGTTTGAGGTCTCTAACCGAATCTCCCCGCTCCAGCATGCAATTCAACTCATTCTCATCAAGCTGGGTGACCATTGTGCCCGACAAAGCAAACACATTCATGCTTTCGGCGAAGCAAATTGTGGGCTCAGTACCTCCTGTGTGGAGGCAGCTTATATTATGGTGGGCCTGGCAATTGGGTTCTTTTGCAGGTGCGTCTGGAGAGTGTTCTATAGTTATATAGCTAGTTTTTACCTACGTCCATCCTGCGTGCAAATCCTTTTGATCAGAAATTCCCCATTGGTGGGCAGTTGGTGGTGTTCCACTGCGATCAACTTGGCATATCATGCTGTAAAAGCACTAAGAATGAATGAGAATCCTGACTGCTCCCTCCTCCATCTACCGGCTTATCCTGTTCTCTCTCGAACCTCACAGGACTGCGATCCGACGACCTTCACGACGGACCGGCACTGGACCGGTCCTTCTGGAAAGGCAGTTGTGCAGGGTTCGACGCATCGGCTGACCACATCAGAACACCAAACTAGGGGGGAAGACCCGAGGACCAGCGGCTGACCAACTCAGAAACACCACATTCTGACCATTTGTGACCACATCCCCCCATCCACCACATGGCGTGGAATGACCCAGTATACCCGGCAGCCCGGGCTCCCGGCTGGTGCTGGTGCAATTAAAGGCGGGGATGGCATAGCCTAGGCGCGCTCAAAGGGAGTGCCCCAGAGAGTCACACTCCTCCTTTCGGCTGGGAGTTTTGAAGCCTGGAGGCAGGGGATGGGGAGCGTTCGAGGAATTTCCTCCATCCCATTCTTCAGGGTGAACCGTTTTTTCATGCTGAAACCCCGTACTACTCTCGCTCCCTGTCCAGCGCTCCTCTTTCGTGGTCTCTGGGTCTCTGGGTCTCAATCCATGAGCTTTGGCGTGTTGCAGCAGTCCCCAGGCAGCATCGCCAGTGACCACACCAGCCTGGAGAAGGGAGCTGAACGGACAGAGCAGGTTTTGGGAGGGGAGCAGGTGTGGTAAGAGGAGAAAGCTATGCATCGGATGGGATTCTGAAGGTGCTTGGGAGAATACTCAAGACGAAAAGACTTGCGTTGGGTGATCGCCCATCCTAAAAAGTTCGGTTTTCTTGCTAGCTTAGCTAGGGCGGCAGCCAGCGTCGTGTGCTTTCAATGTGGGAGATGCCAAGCAGAAGGACTCACCCTTTCTTTCGGTCGTGAAAGATCTTTCGCCTCTACAACCGTCTCACCTTCTTGGAGGGGGGGCCACCTTGTGTTGGCCGCCTCCTCCTCCACATGAAGAACTCCCGTCAGAGGGTGCGATGTTAGTCTTCCCAATCCTAGATCCTGGATCAGATGCTACAAGACCAGATCACCGCTTTGATGTCAAGAAATCATTTCGAGCTATCCCCACCCGCTGGTTTGGGGCAAAAGACCTGATGGCACTGCTTGAAATCATCGAAGTCGATGGGATGGCCGGTTTGTTTCGGACCATCTTCCAAATACCAAACGCTTGGCGAACTCCACTTCCCAAGGCTCAGAAAGGACCCTCAACTAACTACGTACCTGGGCCATGATTTCAAGGAGCGCATCCTGTGAGACTCTAAGTCCGATCGGCGCCAACGAGGTCCAAACACGCCCTTGGTCCGAAGGCAACCAAAACGGCTTCGTCTGAACGTGGCATCCGACAAACAGCTGAGTGCCCCAAGCGAAATGACTCCCCCGAAGTAGCATGGGAGTCTTTGTGCTCTTGAACTTCCAGGGTTCTACTACACAACATATTGTAGCATTAACATACTGTACGGACCAAATCCTGACAAATGATTGGACGGATGGTGGATTTTTCTGCACTGCTGCACCCTGTGACAGCATGTGACAGCTGTGATGAAACAACCGATGGTGCCGGCCTTCACGCCAGGCACGTCCCAGAAGGAGGCACATTTTTTGGCGTCCTCCAGTGGCCAGGGATAAACCACATGGAAGCGGAATTCACGAAGCTTGCAACGGAGAGCGATTGTGATGCCGAAGTGAGAGGATGGTCCTAGACTGGCTTGGTGGAAGAGGTTGACGCACTTGCCCCAAAAGCAGCTTGAAGAGGCCAAACAGAGTTGACAAGCTGTCAACGAGGACAAAACACCTTCTGGGGAGACCAATTTGCATTTGGCCATGCATTGCCTGTCGTCAATCACGAAGACGGGTTGGCCGGTTGGCCTCAATTTCCCATCACTTGGCTTGACCCAAGTTGACCGCCAACCGCCACCAACCTATAGCTCCAAGGGGGCCGGGGTCACACCATCTTACTAGTATATGTAATTACATGTAAATATATACATATTATGAATATAGCTCCAGAACAGGGGTAACTCAGCTTGGGTACACCATGCCCGCGATCAGGGTGGTACTTGGACACCCTTTCAATCCCCATCCACCTCTTTTCGGGGGGCCCTGGTGGTATGTCAATGACGCCCAGCGTACTCCACCTGGATCCACTCCTTCCTCGCACCCCGAGTGGCCGAGTGGCCTCAATGGTGAAGGGCATGACCTGCTGAACCTGCAGTGAGGCTGTAGGTGAACCTCACGAGATCCAAGGATTGAACCTCTAAGGATCCCCTACCTGGACCTCGAAAAAGGGCTGTGGCTGGAGATCCCTCCAAGGATCCTGCGTGGGGGCTTCCACCAGCCAGGTGACCCCTTGGAAAGTGCTGAAACAGGTGGTTTTCATTCAAATGCTGGAGGTCTCTTGATGAACAATGTGGAATCCCGGACAGCTTGACTGGTGACTTCAGATTGCGACAAGGTGGAGTCTACCTTTCTTTTGATGGCGGAAGGTTAGGCCTTTGGAACAGACAATGACCCATCCACGAGGGGGAAAGTGCGAGAATGTCCTCCAGCTCAGGGTGATCAGGCTGGAAAGCCACCCGGTTCTATTTGTGAAGGGTTCAAAAAGCACTCCACCAGCGCCAGCGTCTGCTTCCAATTAGTTCAGCCAATCAACTATAACCACCACAGCCACATGCCAAACAAGCTTGAACTCCCTGATCAAAACTGATCAAACCAGGCATTCCATCCTACTGGACCGTTCTATCAACCTCTTACGAACGATGATCATGAACGACTTCAGAAGGTGCATGGAGACGTGTTCCCTCCCGCCTCAAACACGTGGATAGGCCGCTGGCTGATCGGTCGTTGGGAGGGGGCGACGCTGTTCGCTTGAGCCCCGATCGGTGCGGGCCAGTCGCCAAACCCAGGGATTTGGTCACAGGAATCCCCTGTATGTCCTCAGGGGTGAGGTTTGTCGGATGTTTTATAAACCTCATCTTCCACTTTTCGTGCCTAAAAATCGAAACGCAACAATCATTAAACATCGATTGGTGGATACCACGACGTCTTCTCATCGACCCTTTTGATGGATTTTGCAGGGGAAGACCCCATCCCTCGGGACGATTGGTTCACCTCTCCCGGAGAGGAAAAGGCAGAGGCTGCCGCGACCTCGTGCCAACCGCAAACGAGTTCGTGCCAGGACGGGAGAAGCGAACGCACGGCCAGCAAGACACACCAAATGGATAATGGATGGCAGTTGAGAGCACCCCAAAAATGCCATGGACTCCCTCGGGCTCAGGCGTCGCACCGAACTCGGTTCGGTTCGATGGGACTGGAGTGGGTGCCAGTGTTCCAGTCCTGCCGGGCCGAGTTCGGTACGACGCCTGAGCCCTAGACACTGGGTCTTGTGCTTGTCCTCAACTCATCTTCTATTCAAAAGACGAATCGCCATGTCTCTTTAGCTCGTCCCTCTTAGCTCCGGCACTTGTCCGTCAGCGGCGTGACGACCAGCCGCGGGGTGTTGCCCAAATATTCGAAGGAGTACCTTGAGAATCACATCCACAGAAGTCCACAAGGGTTGCTGGGTTGCTTGCTGGCACAGGTCCGTAGTGGGGGTATCGGGGTGGCTTTGCAGTTGCTTGAAACATGTCTTTCCATATCCCTATAAGGGACTCGAACAGCCATTTAATGAACAGTTCACGTCCAATTCGCCTCTCTATCTCTGTTGCTCCATCCGTATTGGTTCTGGAAATAGATGGAAATAGTATATAAATGCCAGGAGTCACCTGTCGGAGTGTGGCTCGTCCCATCCAGGGGCCGTGGATGTTCTGAGCATCCCGACTTCCTCCGGTATCCCGAGCTATGTGACTGGTGAATTCGTGCTTGACCGAACAACCAAAATGGGTAGACCGAGACCCACATGGAACCTGATGGCATCATCATCAGACTGGAAGACAGGCGATCTTTCCGAAGATCAACCGTGGATAGCACCGGGGAGGTCCTTCAGACCGCCGAACTCGCTCGCTCGCTCGAGCTCACGAGCTCACTCGCTCGCTGTTTTTCCATTTGGGGGCACGTCGCTTGATGGAAACCTCTGCAAAAGGCCCATCCTTTTTGGATCTTGTTGGTGAAACATGCCTGGATGATGGTAATTCCTATCCAAAGACTCAGACTGCAGTTACCATCAACACCAGGAAGATAGTTTGGCCTCTTTGACTGTTTTCCTTCGGACCAGTTCTGTCTTTGTTGAGGTATCAATCAACATCAATCAACGTGTTTCTTTCAAAATAAAACCCATGAGTCTTGCAAGGTAGCAAAATACGTCGGTCTCCATCCCCACCAAGCGTTCAGCTCCATCCAAGAACTCGTCCGGCGCCCCCCCCGAAACGCGGAGTCGAGGCGCCGAATGTTGGCGATCGTCTGCTTGACGATACAGGTGTCGGACGCATGCGTTCCATCTGACCTTGGCCGAAAAGGATGGTTTATGATGTTTTGACACGGAAGAAGTCCCTGTGAGGGGGGGAAGACCATGGAGTCCAAGTTGACGTCAAGTTGATGTTCCTCACAGCCGTCTAAAACACCCAAAGGCGTTTAAAAAAGGGCGATCCGATCGGAACTACTCCGGTTCGTTCACAAAAAGGCAGTTCTTCATGAAGTCCGCCCAAAGCAAAAAGAAAAAACGGACCCCCAGGAGGATGGAGGGCGGACCTCCAGCCTCCGCCACGACTCTTCCACCGGGCCTCCAGGCATCAGCACCTGACGGTACGGCGTGGGATGCAGGAAGTTCAAACCGCTGGTGGGATCTCGTGGGAATAGTCCGGTCAGGTAGCGAGAAAGATGAATCTGAGATAGAAAGATGTACAACTTTCATAGACTGGTTTAGAAAGGCTTAACCATGTGTCGATCTATTCAGAGGTCGCTCCATCACCAAGTGTTCGTCTGCTCCCTAACCGTAGTGTTCTTGCTAAAAGCCACCGCTCCAAATTCGCTCAGATGCCCATCCCTGATTCATCTCCAAATGCGCAGCTGTTCTGCGTAGATAACCCACGGCGGGGCGACAGCTTTAAGGCAGTCAGGAGAGGAGCTGGGCGCCCCGACCTCTTCGGCAGCCCAGTAGTAGCGCAGCTGTTTGCTCCAATCGAAGTCGTTCACCGACCTGCACGCTGAGTCAAATGGTTGATGTTCGGCGAAGCAGAAGCCCATCTGTGCTCAGCCACGTTTTGCAAGCGGGGAAGATCCTCAAGTATCCATCTGGATGCCTGAGAACGCTTATATATAGAACATCTTAGAACTGATCCTGAAATTAAGACCAGTTGGGATGAGACCAGTTTGGGGTCACCAATGGAACTGTACAAACCAACGAACAAACCTCGAAGCACCCTTCTATCTCATTCTATCTCCACATCTTACAGTGACATAGGACATGTTCACTTGAAAGGAAGAATCTCTCATCGTGGTTGAGACCAGTGCTCGAAACAAAACAGTGCCTTTCGGAGGAGAAAGGATGTTGCTTCCAGGACCAAGTTAAACCTGGTCCTTGACCTACTTTAGTACTGTTTTTGCATGACTGGACCCAGTAAAATGAGGTCCTTGACCTGTATACTGTAGGGAGATATATATATATACTATATACAAGAAAAATGACATGCTGTTAGCAAAATTCGCTCGCAACTCGTTGCACGTCCCCCCGCGTGAACCTTTGTGAACCAAAAGAACCGGTTGTTGATTTGATGTCATTCACATTTAAGTGCTAAGTATGTACGATAATGTTGAAAATATATGAACATATCCACACCCAAGTTGCTTCATGTTGCTTCCACATCCACTTGCGCCAAGCCTGCACTTTGCTGCTTCGATCTGTTCCAAGACCGAGATGCCATGCACCTGGAGATTTGACCCGGACTGGGCACGTCTGAGAGATGTTCAACGCTATGACTGAGCTCCTGTCGCTGTCGGTTGCCCCAAGAAAGCATCTTTCAACCCAGCAAGGCTACCGTGGCCTCCAGATGGCCTCCACCCTAGTAGCGATGCCTCTCCCCATCCAGACCCCACGAACCCAATTCATTCACTCAGGGCTCGGACGTCCAGTACGATGAGAGCACCCATGAGGACCTCACAAGCTTCAAGCGCCAGAAAGCCACCGGAAAGAGAGGGGGTTCTTTAGGTTGTTCAGATGTTTTGTGAAGCAAGTCTTCTGGAAGAACAGTGGTTGAACATGACCTTTCTGAAAGAAAACATATCCGCCTTAATAAGATTCCGCCCTGGCGCCTTTGGCGCTCCCAGCTTGGTGATGTCCAAGCTAAAAAGATAAGGCTATAGCCCTACCACTCTGAACTCTGCCTCCTTCGCCACGAACACCACCCGCCAAACCCACCCGCTTAACGGCTGCAGCGTGTTTCACCCCCAAACGGCTGGAGGGTGGATCTCCGGAGCCACCCGATGTTTTCTCCAAGTGAGGGAATTCCAAGTTCCCAAGGCCTCAAGGCCTGGAGAGGTCCAAACCGAGACCTGGGGGCGTTCGGGAGGGTTTGGACGATGTTTTGACTCATCCACCATCTTCTTGGCCTCTAGAAGCTCCTCTTCAGAGCTCCTGGTGACTCTTGCCTTGTTCGTTTGTTCCTGAGCTGGGCCGCTGGGTGACCATCTGAAGAGGCCTGACGAAAAACTGGGGGATGCGACAACTCCGCCGGGCCAGTCGCGGCGCCACACCTGACCGTCGCCCGGTCGCTCCCGGGTCGCGGTCCGTCGCAGAACGTCTTCCTCCGCGCGAGCGGGGAGCAGTGGCCGAGCGGCCCGTTGCAGCTTGGATAAGTCCAAGCGGACCAACTCCACGCTGTGCCTGAGGACCGACCGGACATCATGGGACGAACGAACGTGGTTGCGGGTGGAACCGTGGGAAGGAACGGGTGACATGCTTTCTGGACGAAGACCACTGCAAGATCCAAAAAAAATGAAGACCAGGACAAATGGACATACCAAGGGCATATCAGACATGCCAAACCCTCCGGAGTCCTAAATAGTGCCAGGATATGATCCACCTCAATCAATCACCTTCCAGCATAGGTGAGGCCAGGACAGGAGAAGTTGGCAACAATCAGCTTTCCATGCGAGTGGAACCTGGGGAGTCCATGGATTTGTAGCCACACCAAAATCATTGTGGCTTTCTATCGTGAAGTCTCACCACATCGAAAAGTATGTCCAAATTCTTTGAGGTTCCCATTTTGACACCATCCTGGCATGAAATCCCAATTCCCAGAGCCCTCAACTTCCCTCCTCCAAGAGGGAAAGACACCAGGAAGACCAGGAAGTTCATCACCAGGATCCTTTCCCGACCCCTTTGGGCCTCCCCATCTTCGGACCCATGACACCATCCCCTATTCTCCGTAGGGCTCCTGGCCTACCTCCTGAGAGGATGCTTGGGGTGGGTGCCAGGGGGGTCCAACCACCTTCTAAGGATATGGTTGGAGCGCCAGGGTATATATTCTCCTGGGTTCCCAACTCGAGCTGCTTGTTGGTGAAGGCGATGTTGCGCTTCATCGCCTCGCTTTTGCTTCGGCACCGATGGTGTTTTGGAGACGCGCCGCGGGTGCGCTCGATCGACCGCGAGGCGAAGGGTTTCTGCCACCGAGTCAGGAAAAACAAACGTGGAGGATCTCTTAAACCGATGGATCTATGATGTATTGAGTGTAATCATGTATGAGGTTTAAGATCTCTTAAACCAAAGATGTGTCTTAAACCGATGGAGTGTATTCAGAAACATCCAGCAGAGTCATTCCAGCAGCATGTTGGTGAGGGTCATCGAAACGACTCCGCTCGACGACAACGGTCCTTTGGTGTTCTTTCTTGTGCTGGGAGAGGCCCATCGAGGCCCATCCGACCAAGGCTGCCACAGAAGGCAGTCCATGCATTTTCGGATGGAGTGTCCTCCATGTCCTTGGCTCCCATATCAGCTAGACCTTCAAGTGAAACTTTCTCCGCACGACGCTTCGACCTGCCTCGACGTCTCCAGCTTCTACCTGGCAAAACGGACGCTGGAAGAAAGCGTGGATTGGGAGAAAGTGTCACTGACGCAACAGTTGGGCGAAGAAAGATCTTAATTGGTGGAAATGTTCGGCAGGGTGCGGGTGCTGATGGACGTTTCGTCTGCGTTTCGTCTGCGAATTCCCTGGAATTACTCAAGGTTGAACTGACTGGTTTTCCCAACGATTTCTTTTGGTGCAGGAAATGATCCAGTAACGGTCCCTTTGACACGAGCGGACTTACATGCGATTGTATGTGCTAGCTGCTATCTCATGTTTTATGTTATATATATGTTGTGTTATTGCATACTACTACCTATGGTGACTACCTGTGGTGCTAATTGTCATGGAAACAGAGACCGTGCTTAAAAGGGCTATATAGCAAAGAAATCGATGATGTTTGATGGTGGACATAGCTCACAACCCCACCGAACTCAAGAGAAAGGGAAGCAAAGACAGTTCATCTGTTCAGCATTTGTAGTGTGTCAAAGGAACCCCTCAAATTTCCAGAACATGTCACACACAAAAAAAGAGCAGTGGATCTCCAGGCTGAACCAGGGACTCCCACCCGAAAACACCAAAAATCATTGATTCCCATCTGCAAAACGGTGGGTTGGGGCTCTCCATCTGCCAAACTCACTGGTTCAATGAAGCAATCCTCCCAAGTGCTGTGTGATTCCAAGTACACTTTGACGAACACATCACATGGAAGTGGAAAAATCTGCCCCTGAAAGACCATGTTCCGAATACCAAACAGGGTTTTCCACGTCCATGTTTTTCTTCGGAGAGCAATTGATTGAAAAGTAAGCCCATTGCCTTCTTGGACTTCTTGAACACAAAAGATGCTCCCAAAAAAGACTCACGTATCGCCTTGCACAAAAAGAAGAAGAACAACCAATACCTCCCCAATGCCTCCTACCCGCGCGCCCTCCAGAAACAAAACGCCAACCATGTCCGGGCGCATCCTCCGGGACGTTCGAAACCAAACACAAAGGGCGCCTGATTGAGCGCATCCTCCGCGCACTTGGTCCACATGATTTGGTCCACCGCCAACGCCTCGATGGCCAATTCGACCCGACGCCCGACGTGGGGCGTTTGAGAAGCATTGACCAATGAAACCGGTCAGAGGAAAGACTGATTCTCTTTGAGTCATGGAGTCATAAGGTCAGAAACCGAGAATGGGATTTTGGACGTTGACATCTTTGTAGAGACTGGACTTTTAGGACCCTGTACACTGTAGCCACATGTCACACTGTAGCTACACCTTTTTTACACGTTTTTGAGAATTGCTGAATAAAGACTCTTCTCTCCTTTCCATCCTTTTCTCACCTTCTTCCCCAAAGAAATTCTCCACCAACTCTCCACCTGACTGCATCCCAGCAAACTCCCACTCGGCCGCCCAGCTGACTGCGCTGGGTACGGTCCAAAGAGCCAATCCTTGCGGATGATGCCATCCTGCCGGAGGCACTGCTGGCGTGCACCGTCGAGTCGTTGTGGTGTAGTCGTGTGAATATGCCAATGCGCGCGCGTGCGGTTGGTCGTGAGGGTTGACGTAGGGCTTGGGAACGAGTGTAGTGGGACAAATGCTGTTTGACCACCCAGTCTGAAGATGTCTCGAGATAGACAAAAGGCCTGCAGCAAAGTGGAAACACCTGAAACACACTGCTCTCCAGAATAGTTGTACATCTCCAGGCCAAATAAACATGGATTCATCAACACTCTACAGGAGGTGCTTTTTTTCGGAGAGAAAAATCGCGATCCTCCTCCTTGGATGGAAAAAAAACTGCATGAAAATGGTGAAGGTGTTCATGCTTTGGCATGCCAAAGGCTTGCACAGCAGAACCGGAGTTCTTCGTTCCAGTCTCTCTAGTCTCGCTGGAAGCACCTCCGGATAGGTCTCCAGAGCTGCCTGTGCCAGATGGATGAGACGGATTTTTGCACCCCAAATGCCCCATCGGATGAAGCCCCATCCCAGGCCCACGAATGCCATGGTGAATCCTGGGATGGGATAGATCTCCCAACAAGCAACAGTTGTCATTAATCACTGGCTCACAAGCGCCATTGCCAATATATATATATATATATATATTAATCTGTTTATTTGAGTCTATCTATCCTATTACCAGGGGCCAGTGGATGATGATGATGATGATGATGATGATGATGATGATGATGATGATGA